AAATAAATATGCATTGTTTAAGCCACCCAGTCTGTTATATTTTGTTATTGCACCCCTAGGTGACTGATACATGGGTGCGGAATTGCCCACATCTTCCTATTTGAAATCTTTGCTCCAAGGGTGGTTGTCATCTCCTGATAGGCACAGCAGATGGCAGTGTTGTCCTGTGAGTTTGCACAGCCAGTTGGCCTGTCAGGCTGGGGCTCTGGCTTAGATAAACAGAGGGTCAGAGATGTAAACTTCAAGGCCCAGGGTTTTCATTGGGGAAATTAACAACAACTTTGCATTAAAGTGTCTATATAAGTATTTATAAAACTGGCCTCTAGAAAAGTAAATGAGATACTGTTTAAAAAGAGAAATAAAGAAAAAAATCCTAGGCATTTGATGTGCCTGCAGGAACTCCCTCTAGTTCAATGATGATTTATTGCTATTTGTGGAGTCTAAGTTTGACTCTTCGCTCATGGAGCCTGAACCCTCGCCTTAGCTCCCTAGAGTGTGGTGCCTCTGAGGCTCTCTGGCTACACTTGCTGCTGAGCCTCAGATATCAAAAATGGGTACAGAGCCGGTCCGCTTCCTATTGATGTCAAGAATATTTCAGTCTTCCAGGTGCCGTAATTAGGCCCTTATCTCCACAGTCCATTCTCAGCACAGCTACAGAACCCAAACTGTCCTGTGTTCCTTGTGAGGCTCTTAGGAATGGAAACTTAACTAATTTGGCAAGTAGGGAGCTGGCATCTCCTCCTGTACTACACTCCCATCAGGTTGCTTCATTGCAAATCCACAGCAGGTAAGAAGAGTTACACAGAGATCCTTTCCCTGTTTATATATACATTAAACTTTTCCCATCTTTCAGGACTTACTTTCTGAGAGCATTTGTGTGTGTGTGCGTGTGTGTGTGTGTGTGTGTGTGTTTTATTGTACATTCATCAAGCCAAAACATTTTTAAAGGATCAAAATAATTTTCTTTATAATTACTGAAAACTAGATAGAAATTGCAACCTTTTTTACACTTGAGCATTGGAAGTCATGTGTTCTAGGCAGTGCCTGGAGGTAAACATATAGACAGGTGATCAAGATAATGATAATGCATGGGAAATATCAATCTAAAGCATTTTACTCAACAAATATTCGTAATTGTCTGTGTGTGAGTGACCACAAGTAAACAGACCTAACTGGACAGAGAACTGGCCCAAATGAGCATCTCCTCCAGGTTGTTTAGTAGTCCCATGAATGTTCATGATAAGCATGAGTCTACTAGGATATAAAAAAAAGGAAAGTAGTTCATATCTTACTCACTGAGCAAAAAGACTAAAATTAGAAAAATTATCTATGATAAGTCTGCTTTTCTTTTAGATTAATAAAGGCACTTAAGGAGTTGTGGTCAAAATACATAAAAAGACATAAACATTATGGAAAACAGTTTATTAGATGCTTGAAAGATAAGCCTTATCTTCCAAAAGATATTTGTGACTTCACATCCCCTTGGATTTACATGGCTTTGACCAAAACTTGACCTAGGGCAGAATTCCCTAAAATGAGTTCCCTGGAATTATAATTCCCTGGCATATTAAGATTTCTTATGAAAAAAGGTTCCGTGTTCAAATGTTTGGGATATTAACTATACTTTTAGTTTCTGTAAAATGCCCTAACATCTACAGAATGACCACAGGCTGTTCCCAGGTTAAGCCTGGCCCACCCAAAACATCTGGAGACCTTAGATAGCCCCAAACCTTATTCTCTGACACTCACAGTGAACATGAATTTCATGGGGACCTCTTTCAAACTTAGCCAATCCTAAACCCTTTTACCCTGCCTTGCCTGGTCCTTTCCCTGGAAACCACAAAAAAAGCACTTGCTTACAGTTCTGCGTGTGTGTGTCTCTCTCTCTTTCTCCTCCCTCCCTCTCTCTCTCTCTGTCTTTCTCTCTCTCCTCTGTCTCTCTCTCTCTCTGCCTCATGACCCACGATGATGCTTTCCCTGAGTGGCCCTGCATCGCATGCTGTGTTCTCCCTAGGGAACCGTGAATGTAGTGAAACCCTTTTTGGTTTCTCTCTTTGATCGGCTTCTGGCCTCACTGTATCTCATCCAACACAATATGGTTAAAACAAAACTGGATTAGGACAAATTGGACATACTTCTTTATTGCAGTACTCTCAGAGATGTTAATACATACATGTGCATTCTAAATTTTCAGTGTCAAACTTACTTGGCTTTGGAATCTTTTTTGAGCAGTATAGCTTATGGACTAGCATTTCTGGGATCCCGCTTGGGAGGTACTATTCTGGAGAGATACCGATTATCTGTCTAGGAGACTTGGTGTGTCAGTATTTTTCTGAAGATAAAAATGCAGACATCATTGTGAAATAAAATCAAACATTATAGTTTAGAGAAAGCTCAATTCCCATATGAAATTTAACCTATAGACTCATCAAGGATTTGGCACAAAGACACTGAATGGTTAATAGCTGAATGAACTTACATAGTTTGTGGAGTCCATACATTTTAAAATCCATATATCTTTTACCTTTCCTAATATTTACCCTTCCAACAGAATAAATCTTTTGGGCATAGGACAAGTGCTTACTAGATATCTTCTCATGCATCTTTGTTAAGCACCTCAAACTTAACCTTTCCAAACTGAACCAGTTGCTGCATCCCCATTCTACTTTCCTCAAGTGACATTTTCATCTATCCATTCACTCATATCAGAAATTCAGAAATCTATCAGTCTCTTCCTTACCGCTTACATAGTACCCATCCATAGCCCATTAATCAGTATTATTTTTATGTTTAATAACATATCTATCCTCTCCCTCTCCAACACTGGGCTTAGTCCAGACCCTCATATCTCAGTCATTTTCATGGTGTCCTGATCTGTCTGTCTTTCCTTCATCTCGACCCTCCCGTTCAAGTCTCTCCTTCATACTGATACCATTATGTTTTTTCTGAAGTGCATTTCTTTTTTTTTTTTTTTTTTTTTAAATATTTATTTATTTATTTTTGGCTGTGTTGGGTCTTCGTTTCTGTGCGAGGGCTTTCTCTAGTTGTGGCGAGCGGTGGCCACTCTTCATTGCGGTGCGCGGGCCTCTTACTGTCGCGGCCTCTCTTGTTGCGGAGCACAAGCTCCAGATGCGCAGGCTCAGTAGTTGTGGCTCACGGGCCCAGTTGCTCCGCGGTATGTGGGATCCTCCCAGACCAGGGCTCGAACCCGTGTCCCCTGCATTGGCAGGCAGATTCTCAACCACTGCGCCACCAGGGAAGCCCTGAAGTGCATTTCTGATTGTTACTCTCTTTCTATTAACTGCCAATTCATTGGCCATCATGCTATACAAAATAAAGTCCAGACTCCTTACTCTGTGATAACCGTTTTTCTACTATCTCATCTTTTCCAGTCATCTCTGGGTACCCTTCTCTAGCACAGAATATAATTCAGTCATATTAACCTGACTGCTCTGCCCCCAACATGGCAGGCTGTGATATGTCTTGGTTCTTTTTCACCTTTTGCCTGGGATCACCTTACTCTCGTATCAGCTATCCAAATATCTATTTATTTTCCAAGACCAAGCTCAAGAGTGTCCTTCTCTATGAAACCTTTCCTGATTCCTTTCCTAACACCCCACACTATACACTCTACAGAGCTTTATTATACTTATTTGTTCACATGTTTCTTTCCCCTACAAAATGCTTAATTCCTAGAAGTAAAAGACTGCATATTACTCATCTTTTTTTTTTTTTTAATAAAGTTATTTATTTATTTTTGCTGCGTTGGGTCTTCGTTGCTGTGCGCAGGCTTTCCCTAGTTGTGGCGAGCAGCGGCTACTCTTCGTTGTGGTGCGCGGGCTTCTCATTGCAGTGACTTGTTGCAGAGCACGGGCTCTTGGCACGCGGGCTCAGTCGTTGTGGCTTGCGGACTCTAGAGCGCAGGCTCAGTAGTTGTGGCACACGGGCTTAGTTGCTCCGCGGCATGTGGGATCTTCCCAGACCAGGGATTGAACCCGTGTCCCCTGCCTTGGCAGGCGGATTCTTAACCACTGCGCCACCAGGGAAGTCCCTACTCATCTTAAAATATCCCAAAACTGACATAGCACTTGATACATTGAGGAGTGTTTTACAAACACTTATTTGTAAAGGACTATCATTTCCTTTTGCAAACAACAATAAAAACTATGCACTGTATATTTCTAATTTTACATCGTGTGTGAGTATGATTGAGAATGTACCTCCACTAAATGAATCACATGATACAGCCTCCTTCTTTCTAGTATGACTGGAAAGTAAAGAAGAAACACATATTTCTCTTTGAGTATTTTCCTCGAATCATCCTATTAACAGAGCAGTGGATCCTCATCTTTTCCTCCACTGTCTCAACACCCCAATCATTATGAATATCTTTGGAAACCAAGAAAAATGATTCCCAGCTCTGATTTTTCCTCAGAATAAATATAGCTGTATGGGCAAGTACCCAGAGAGCATTGAAGTACTTTTTCCAATCCTCCTATTTCAGATCCTTAGGGGGCAAGGAAGGAGTGAAACCTTCTACCTGCCAATTTTTAGAAGAGCAGAGGACAATGGAGCCACTTAGAGGCTTGTGAGAGGGTACCTCCATTTAAACTCTGGATCAAGTAGTAGTGCGGAATGCTGAGACTCTGACATAAAGTTCTAGCTATTTGAATCAAATTGTAGGAAAGAATAGGAAATATGAACGTTTGGTTTCATGAAGACAAATTTCTTGAATCAATCTGGAGTCAGTTCTTGTGAGAATTTTTGGAACTATTGCAAATTGTTGATTGTTGGGATTTGTAGTCCTGGGTGAAACTGATTAGTTATCTATATGCTGGATACTTTTATGAAAACCATTTTAGCCTAATGGGCACAAAGGGCTTAGTCCCTATTCTAATGATGTGTTAAGGGATATTGCCTGAGAAGTAGGAAAGCAGGTAAGAGGCAGTAAAGAAGATGCTCTGAACTTGAAAGAAACAGAACAGAGCTTTAATACTTACAGCTGTCCTCTTCTTCAGTTATACATTTCACAACATAACAGGCGTAGATGAACCCTGCCAGCTGAAACAAAACAAAGATGCTTTAGACATGTGGCAAAGGCAACAGTACTGGATCTCACTGGGGGAGCGACTTTTCAAAGGCATGTGGTTTTGACTAGATTCAGTGTTCCAAAAGAGTTCATCAGACTGGATCTGGACTCCAGTGTGGATTCTTGATTCATATAATGTGCCTTATAAGTGAATATATTACTCTGTTTTCCTTTGTTCTGCATTTATGTTTAAGATTTGTTAATTGCCAACCAATCTACAACAAGTTATTTTAGATCCAGAGGAAAAATACAGGATTATGGCCATTCATCAATGGATTAGCATTTGCATTTGTGCCAATCAACTTCTAATTCACTTTTCATTAGCCCAGAGCCTAAGATACTAAAATTGGACTCCTGCTGACTATCAGAAAAATGTTCTGAGAGAAAAATATTAAGGAGATTCCTTGAAATGTTGCCTCAACACTTTGTAAGTAAGAAAAACTCTTATTTAGACCAGTAACAGGAACCAGGACATACCGAGTATAGTTAAGATGACATGATACAGAGGAGCAACGGGGTGGGTAACTGTAAGGAATATCACAATGCATTTGACTGGGATTGCACACATCAGAGCATCCTTTCTGAAGCATACAACAGAGGTCCCTGTGGTCAGGGAAGTCTTTGCTCACTGAAATAGTATCTGTGAAGGAGCACAGTAAAGCCCCTTGATATATGTCCCCTCAGATGGTGTAGTTTTGTATTCCTTCATATAAGTATAATTATTTAGTCAAATAATGAGCACTGGTATAAGGAAGCAAACTAATTTCCTGATATGTGGAAAATTTTTTTTCCAAAACAATCCAGTTTGGAGGAATCCTTAAAGGCATGTCCTCAGGACAGTGATGAAAAGTTTTCACGGTGACATTTCAGACAGGCATTGATCCTACAGAGTACTTGGCATCGGGGAAGGGAACCTTGGGAAAAAGGCTAGAGTCTTCAATCAGGAAGCTAAGGTACGGGGCAAAAAGTTGCTGCTGTGATAAACCTAATGAACTTGTTTTCCATTAGCTGACAGATTGCAGTATTTCTGGAAGATGTGAGTGGAACATTTTAAGTCACAGGGTACACTGATAGGTATTTAATGAGAAGAACTATTTGGAGACAGAGGTCCGGTTAAAAGCAACTTTAGAAAATCTTTAATTTTAGTTTGAGAAAGAAAGCACGTTCTGGCAGATTCTGTTCTTTTCCAAAGAGATCTGGCATGAGATAAAACAGTGGTTTTCCTGGCACAGAAATAGTGACCCTGCTTAAGAGAGAGCAATGAATGAGAAAGCAGACTTATGCAAAATATTCTCCACAAGCTTTTGTTTTCAGATCCTGGCTGAGAGGGACAGTGGACCCGCTGCCCTCGCACCCCCAAGTGTAGTATCTGAACCACCACACATAGTAACAGAGAGCTAGATAACATACCACTGATGCTACATTAGCACTTAGGTTTTTAAAAATATGTTAGAAAAGTCATCAAATAAGGATTTTTCTCTTTGAAGTATACGTTGCTATTGGCAATAAAATTGTGATAGTAAGAACAGTCTCCTTATATAATGGAATCATCAGGTTACTGTTTTTATGGGACTTATTTTTAGAATACAGGGTACTGTTAAAAACCAGTGTATCCTATTTGGCTTTAGCAAAGATATTGATTTGACCAAACAAAATCACACAGTGATTTGAGCATTTTCACAGATAATGGAGAAGCAGATTAACACTTCTTAATCTTTTATCCACCAGGGCCCATGAAAATGCCTGTATCACTGAGGGACCTAGTCCCATGCGTACTCTGTCATGGGTGCTGAATCCGACTGTGGCGAGGTAAAGAGGCTATGGGTTTGGTTAAATCCCCTGGGTACTGCCTGTATCTCCCCTTCTTCCTCCACAGGAAGGCCTTACCATTGTGGCTAAATGCCATAGATTTATCAGTAGTTTATCTCTTCTTTTCAGTTTAAAATACTTACTACTTGAATTATCTACAAAGCAACTTTTTTCCTAATCACAAACTTTTCTCTTGATTTTCACTCATCACTTAATTACTTTTAAATGAAAATCTAGGTAAAGAGCATTGATAAATTCTGAGATTCAGGGCCAGTGAGTTTAAACTTCTCATTAAAGTGTCACTAGAATCTAGATTACTAACCGTACTCCCAGAATGCAGCCAAGGCACTGTATTTTGCTTACCAGTGATCTTTTAATTGTATTCGGTTGCATTCTTTAACTATCAGGGGAGTGACTTTGATATAAAAGTAAATCCTGCTGCATTTCATTACAAAAGCTTGCTGATTAAGAGAACTTCACCTTTTAAATTGGTCACCTCTAAATACAAATGGAAATTGGTTTCTCCCAAATTAATAAAGATTCATAAACCTCTGTTACCTTTCAATTTTCCTACACCAAATACATTTCTAATTTAATTTTTACTCCCTCACAGCAACTTATAAATTTACCTACAGAAAAGCAGTTTCAACGAATTTCTTACAGCTCTGAATACTTCCTATAACATGCAACTCTGCTAACTGCTGCCCAGGCCACAAAGATGAACCAAGCCAGGGTTTCCCAACCTCGGCACCACTGACATTTTGGGTTGAGTAACTCTTTTTTGTGGACTCTGTTATGCATTATAGGATGTATAACTACTAACATCCTATGATCGAGACAGTTGATAATTGAGATAATCCAAAATGTCTCCAGACATTGCCATACATCCCTTCAAAGGCAAAACTGCCCCTCGTTTAGAGCCACTGTTTTAGACACAGTCTAAAGGATTTTGCAGTCTTGTAGCAGGGGTACACATATAATTGTACTTCAAAGTAGATTAAGATAAGTGCCAGGAGGAAAGAAGAAAATTGATTGTCTCCTAACTGACAAACGGTAAACTGGGTGATTTCACGCGTTAGCTCGTTAATCCTCACAGCTACCTTTGGAAGAGCATTATATGTATTTTTGCAGAGGAGAGGTAAAATGGGCCTGGCTTTTCCTGAGCGAGTTCATCAAGCGGGGAAGTTATAGACTGTGTTCAAGGAAGAGCCAGTCCTTCCATCTGATGAGAGTTTGTGACCTCATATTAGAGCAACGGAAATAAAAGCTGTGAAGACAGATTAGGGCTTTAACCAGAGGGCTTTGAGTATGTATCAAATTGCAATTCAAACTATGTAATTTTCTATGCAGTACACTTAAGGAGCACCCCATCTTCTACTGAAGAAGTATAAAATTTTTCACAAAATACATATCCTTCCTAATGTGATGTATAGTCCCTGTCTAGCCTCATTTCCCACCACTCCTTGTCTCAGAATTTATGACAGTATTAAGGTGTTGGTAGTTTGCAGACATACATCAGGTGGTTGCCCTCTGTTCTTTAACTCTTTAACCCCTTCTGCCAACAAAGTATGCGAATGCCCTACATCTCCTCCTCCCTTCCTTCCTTGCTCAGCTCTCCACCTTTGAGTAGTTCTAACTCATCCTTTAAGACTGAGTTAAAGTGTTGCCTTCCCAAAGAACTGGCAATCCATTCCCAGTGTAGGTTGTAGGTTGGCATTTTGGAGATAGACCTCGAGAGATGGGGGTGGAAGGCTTTGAGAGGGTAACGGGAAAGGTGAGAACATCTTCCAAGCAGAGCTCAGGCAACCTATGGGAAGATGTGGATTATGTTCAGAGAGGAGCAAGAGGCCCTGTTTCAGAGGAGTTTGGGCAATGTGAAGGGGTGTAATGGTTCCCAAAGTAGGAAACAGTGACCTACATGGTCATAGTGGATATGAATACCTGGAATGAAAATAAAATTATTTTATTCTGTTCCTTATTTAAAGATAGCTCAGAGTAACAATGAAAGATACCAGTGGTATTATACTAGGCAAACATATAATTATACACTTGTAACAAACCAAAATATTACAGTTGTCTTAGTCTTTGGCATTCAAAGCAGAGCTAAGCCTAAATCTTTTAATTTTTATTCATCTTTTCACCTTGATACATCTAATATGATTTATTCGCTTCTAATTCACCTGATAGGGAATTATATATCATCTTGATATCATTACTGGCTGAAAGGAAATGATATTTTCTCTCTATAACTAAATCAGATTAAAATTCTTTTTTGTATCTACAAACCGAATTATGACTGTATATCCCAGAAATTCACTTAGAAGCTAATAGAGAAGAGGAAACTGAAGGCTTTTGGTAAGTATTTAAAAAGATTTAATTGTAATAATTGAAAATGTAATAGCCTTAGTGTTTAAAATACTATCTTCTGGACTTTTTTTCAGGAAGTTGGAGTAGACATACTTTTCCCTAACCCTCCCACTAAATACTGCTGAAAACCCTGGACATTATATATATAAAACACACATAGGAAGACTCTGAAATATGGAAAGAAGGTAGACTGGCTAGGAATCTTGGGACCCAAAGAAGGACATGGGAGTGAGTCTCCTATTTTTCTTTTGTCTCATATATACCATACTTGGGGCTGAAGAAGCCCATGACACAGAAATGCCAATAGGCACAGATAAAAGAGCCCCAACAAAAGCTTGCTCTCGCTAACCAAAGGACCAGGAAAGGGACAGCCTAACAAGACAGAAAAACAATTTAAGACAATAATAGCCCTCTTTAGCCAACACCACAGAAAAAACTGTAACCCCACTCCCCAGCCACAGCAACAAAGAAGAGGGAGCGAGGTCTTCCCTCCTGGCCAGGCTGTGGTGTCTGAGAAGTGAGGCAGGGAGCCTGGACTTTCATTCCTGCCAGGAAGGAGGAAGTCCCCCTCCGTAGTGTCTGTAGAGACCCCCAAAGGGAATCTAGACTTCTGGCCTCACTCTGTAGTAAGAAGGCACCCCTCCCTTCCCAACTGGGTGGTGTCAGAGGAGGCTTAGTGGAGAATCAGGACTTTCACCAATGACCAGCAGTAATGAGGTCAATGCCCTGCCCCTGTGGTGTTAGATGAAGCCAGCTGGGAGCAGTAACAAGGCACTCCTACCCCTCCTAGCCTTCC